TTTTAATTCGAAATAAATGGGCCCTGGTATTTCCAATCCCTGTTCTCGCCTGTTAAAATGAAGATTGAATCATTCTACTGTGATGACTAAGTTGTAAGGTCTCATTTTGATGACTGGTGATCTTTTCCTGGCTTGCACTTGATAAAGCCCCCCCAGTCCTTTTGTCATAGGCTAGAGCCTAAGGCAGCCAAGGCTTGGGCTTGGGTGACTGATCTGAGCTGATATCAATCAGGTGACTATTTAGTTGCTCTATTTTGGTATAGTCAGGTAACAGCACAGACCACCTTTCAATGTATATAATGAAGACTTTTCCTCTTCCATCTTCTTTAGTTTAAGATCTTCTATACACAGCAAACAGTACAATTCGAATACAATTCTACTTCAAGCCTTTACAATAGATCCTCATAGTTATACCATTGTCCTGGAGCATATATCCTTTAGATCTAGCTTTCTTCCAAGAGAATAAAGGCAGGGATAACTTGGGCATGTAGAGCACATCATCTATTCTGACAGTAGAAATATTTGCATTTGATAGTATACAATTTAACAGTACAGTTCCTTTCCCCTTGATTGATATCTTTTCATTTGAGCTTGATATTACATAACCAGCGCAGGATGAAAGTTGTTCAAATCTTCCTGGGTAAGGGCACATGTGAGCTGTTGCACAGGTATCAAAGTAGAAGGGATGATGAGTAACTTCTTGAGGTCCATTGACTGCAACATTTGTTGGTTCATGGATATTGTGAAGTTCTCTGAATATCATGGCTTTCCTTTCGCAAAGTCTGACACAAGAGTTCCATACACAGTCTTAGTACTCGAACAGATGATGTTTCTTAATGAAGGAACATTCTCTTGGTATAGAGTTTTTAAAGGGTCTAGATTTAGTAACCTTTGATGGTTTTGCTACTCTTGAGGTGTCATTTTTGAGCTTCCTAAACTGCGTAATCAGAGCTGTATGAGTAGAGGATTGTATAGGTAATTCATGTTCAATGTTGACAAGACGTTGTTTGACTTCAGTATAGGACAGATTATCCTTTGTTACCAAGTTGGCAACGATATTCTTGTGATTTCGACTTAAGAATGCCAGTATCAAGTCTCTCTTTATCTCATCATTATCTAGAAAATCAGCAATCTTTTGACATCTGAGGCTGGAGGGTTCACAGGCTAAGTAAGTAGTCCGGAAGTATTCACTCTCATACACGTCTAAGAAAGGAGTCATTTTGCCATTGGAATCATGTGTGTTTGAGAGTGACATCAAGGATCCAAGCTGGTGAATTAATGTGAACTTATTGGTCCGGTGGTATTTGGTTGTCAAAAAGATCCACATCTTGTGGGGGTCTTGTAACTTGAGAATTATTCTCAGTATACTTGGACATACCACTAGAATATATATATTGATAGCAATTGTGAACAATTCGCTAAATGCTTCCTGCTCTTCAAGGCAAGCATCTTCCTTTGGCTTTTTGCCATCAACAACAAGTTCATAGAGCTTTTGGCCTTTCCAGATTGCCTCCATTGTTGTGGCCCATGACTCGTAGGTATCATGTCCGGTCAGTTGGGTAACATTAGAGAACGAGATGTTTCGCATTGAGCAGTTAAGTCACTTTGAGAAATATTTTTCGTTTTCTTTATCGAGGATGGAGGTTTGGTTTAAAGGTAAATTTGCCATTTCTGTTGAACTGTTAGATAATTGATTGGACAATAAGGAAAAGGGAAATTCCAGGATATTAATGCTTTTCTTTGGGCGCCAGGTCATAACCTGTTGAAATGGAAGTTGTATAGAGAAGCGTAAGCTGTTAGGCTTGTATTTAATATCACTTAGTGAAGCAAGTTGGGAGATTGAAAAGTCTGAAAACTATAGTGGAGAGTTGTTGACTAAACCCACTAAGTATCAGAGCGCTATTTAAACTAATTACTACATCTAAGTGAAGGACACGATTCACTTGTTTATGCTAAATAATTGGGAGGCTGGTCAATGAATGAGTCGTCATGAATGTGGCTAGTAATAATAGAACCTTACTACGTTCCGTATCAATGCGCCTCTTCATTGCCAAGTAGCGCCAATTTCAACACTCTGTGTATCCAGATTGCACGATCCTAAGGGGCGGCTCGTGCAATGATGGAGATCTGCGGTCGACCCCTACTTATGTAATCTCTTTAGTGTAATTGTATTCATAGGGAGTTTTTAGGTCAGAAAGCAACGGACAACTTACATCTGACTTAACGACTTACCCGGCATTCTGTGATACTAATTACAGGCGTGCTTTTAGTCCCTAGTCAACCGTAAGCTCCATTGAAACCGTATGCACAACTCTACCAATTATGACGCCCCGACATTTTAGTGACCACGTGGTAGTCGGTCCAATAGTTGGTAAGCCGACACAGGGTCAATCTAGGAATTCCAACAACTAGTTTCACACACACGAGTCTTGTGTGTGACAAATCACAATACAATAGGTTTGTCATGACTATTGGTTTTCATGCAAAACCCTTGGGTTGTAGGCAATGAGGGACCGGAGGTTTGGTGTTGGCAACTTTATTTCAACAGTTGAACCTCCTGTGTACATATACAGATTCATATCCTCTTAGATACTTTTCTCTTTAGTTTAGAATCTTATGATTTGAGTCCGCGCCAGCTTTTGACCTCTCGCCAATCGTCTTTTGTCCCTCGAGTTTCCACACCGATTGACCACTTAGGGCAGGACATGATTATGTACTTGGGATTTTGTGATTGGTAGCCACACGGACAACTTTGGTGATAAACTCCTGGTACTTTTCTTCTGTGTAAATTAGGATTGAGCCCGATATGCTCGCTTCGAATTTGGATTGCTAAGCTACTTTGGGCCCTCGTCAGGTTTTTGTGGAGAGAAAATGTTGACTCCCGGAAGCTTATCTTGGTACGTCTAGAATGGCGGCATTGGTAGAACTTTGCTGCTACCCAAGTTTTAGGATCTGCTGAAGCAAATCTTTTAGGCTGTCAAGTTCACTTTATGGCGGACCAAGTTTTCGCCCATTCTAGGTACGCTGCAACCCTTACTGCTTCTTTTTGTAAGTCATTGGATTTCTCCTCTCCGTAAATCTCATTCCAGTATGCAGGGTCTGCTCATCTATTATTTGCTCTAATATCTTCTCTTCCTCTTCTGGGAAGCTTTATTTTACTACATGCTGATTGGAAGAAAATCCCCATGACCCATGCAGTAATATTAAAATCAAATAAAACTGTATTGGTCATCTAGCTGTTCCTTTTTATTTTTTTAAATCATTCTTTGTGTATTCAGCTATCTAGCTATGTTGGTGACCAGTGCTGTATGCGTGTTGGATGATTCTTTTGACGTTAGAGACACTCATACTCTGGATTTCATTGGCAAATACCACTTTGAGGTATGCTTGCTTACACAAACAGTCGACCCTCCTCCGTAAGTACCCACCAAAGTGAATTTAAAAACCTTTGATTATCCAAGCATGCCCTCGTCATCCATGCATACCAGCGCCGCGAGAAAAAGTGATTATGTTTTACCGGTTTTGAACTAGCGATCTACTGTCTCGAGTGGGGCACATGTCCAAGCTATCCATACTCTACTTGGCAGACCTGCCAAGACGATGTACCACTGCACCATCCAAACATGGCAGTGTTTATAGTGTCGCCTGCACTCTTGCAACCGAAGGCTTGGCACGCACAAAGCTCAATTTGTAAAAACTCCTTGCCAAAATTCAAAATTCCACGCCCGTCGAGACTGAATCCATCCTTCGCATCATCTTGTAAACTTGTCCTGAATCCTCTCGCGCCAATCCCAAAGAACAATCTCCCAGATTTGTGCGCCACGCTTTGTTTCATCCGTCGGGTACAAATATCGGCGTGGGCGTGTGTTTGGTGACCAGCTGAGGCCAGAGAAGGTCGAAGAGAGGTGTGGTCATTAGAATGAGGATGTTCTAGGCCGTACTTGTAGAATTGATGAGACTTAGGTAGGAGTCGATCTCTTTGGGAGTGAAAATTGACGTGTTGAAGTATTTTGAATCATTGCCTCGAGGGATCACTTGTTCGGTATTACGAAAATAGACTGATTAGATTAGATTTTATTATAGTTCTGTCTGAGACTATGACTATGGAGGACTTCTAGAAAATGAAAATTGACTGAACTTGGCTCGGGGAGAATATTTAACTCCCAATTTCCTTTTCGTTTTTGGGATCAGATTTTAATTGCGTATGCAGCTATCTAGCTATGACACAATATCAAAGAAAAGTACAGACAAGATGACTTAATTTAGAAGAGGAGCACTCATGCCTCGGATTTCATTTGCAAGTACCACAGCAAAGTTATGGTAGCTTTTTCTTCACCCCAAGTCAACCCTCATCCATACAGGGCTTGTCCCTCACTGTCCATGAAAGCAAAGCGTAAAGTTAAACAGTTGGAACTTCAAACATGTAGCTAGTATCTTATTTGTAGATTCTAGGAGTCCTCAATGGTCATTGACTCAGTTAGGACTATATTACAAATCTAATCTAATCTAATCAACCCTCATCCGTGAATACCCACCCAGGGGAACATCTCAAAAACCCTGAGTTATCCAGACATGCCTCCGTCATCCATCAACTTTTCTCCGCGCGAAATGTAATCTGAGATGTCTCCTTCCCAAGTGGAGTAACCCCTAGGTTCAAAGAAGCCACTATGTACAGGTTCTCAGCGTCGCCCTCCTATTACTAGCCTTTGACGATAAAAATTTACTTGATAACCTGATCAACTCGCTCGGCTTACTCACCCATTTGTTGTGACACACGTGACATACTGTGTGCGATTCTGTCGAACAAACCCGATCAATCATTATTTACCGGTAAATCAAGTTATACTTACTAATGTCTAATGCGCGCCTTCCATATCAACAGATTTATGAGTGCGCCTAATTTTCAAATTCAATTCACCGCTTCTAACGCAATATCACGGACAACTCAACTTGCAGGACAATTTACCTCACCTACTTTAAACCACAACAGATTCAAAACCATGGCTTCGAAATATTCTGTACGCAAGATTGGCCAACCTAACACTCTCGAGCACCGCATCTACATTGAGAAAGACGGAAACATTGTTTCCCCTTTCCACGATATTCCACTATACGCTAATCCAGAGGGAACAATTCTTAATATGGTCGTTGAGATACCACGATGGACCAATGCCAAGTTGGAGGTGAGCACAGAAATATAATTCATATTACAGCTCGCAGGCTCAATCATTTTACCCCATATCTCTTCAGAAAGCTGTCTCCTCACATCGACAATTGTGTATGCTTACCTCATTCTATAGATTAGCAAAGAACAAACTATCAATCCTATGTACGTCTGATATACTTATTATGGAATTATGACGGCTGATTTCGCCTTAGAAAGCAAGACATAAAGAAAGGCAAGCTTCGCTATGTTCGTAACTGCTTTCCCCACAAAGGGTATCTTTGGAATTATGGCGCCTTTCCCCAGGTATATACCTAGATCCACTCATCCATGAGAAATTCTGAACGTAACCTAGACATGGGAAGACCCTAATGTGATTCACCCAGAGACGAAAGCTAAGGGTGATAACGATCCCTTAGATGTCTGCGAGATTGGAGAACTAGTTGGATACCCCGGGCAGATCAAACAAGTCAAGGTACTTGGAGTTATGGCTTTGCTCGATGAAGAAGAAACAGACTGGAAGGTTATCGTCATTGATGTTAACGATCCTCTAGCAGCAAAGCTTCACGATGTCGAGGATGTTGAGAGACATCTCCCTGGTCTTTTGAGGGCAACCAATGAGTGGTTCCGAATCTATAAAATTCCAGATGGAAAGCCTGAGAATCAATTTGCCTTCACTGGCGAGTGTAAAAACAAAAAGTATATCCAAATGTTTTTGTCCAGTGCCTTGCTTACCAGTTCAGATACGCCACCGATATAGTTCATGAATGTGCGGACGCATGGGATAAACTCATCACAGGAAAAGTAAACCCTGGAAGTATCTCAACGTCAGTTTTATCAAACACACTATGGCGATATCACATTCTAATCTATAAATAGAACAAATGTTACGGTTCAAAAATCGCCAAGCCGCGTCAGCCCTGACCAACTTCCTCCAATCCCACCCAATGAGAATCTACAACCCGCACCTATAGATCCTAGTATTGACAAGTGGTTTTTCATCTCTGGTGCGGCAGCTTAGTTAAACGTCCAAAGCTTCTAATTACGCAACTTGGACCCACAAATTGAGGAAACTTTAGAATTTAAAGCTTGTTGATAGTTATAACTTACCTGAATAACGGGGTTCGAACAGTAATTTGAAGTCGCACATGTGATGATTGGGAGAACTTTCAGGCTCTATGATAACCATGTGTTTATTATTATCTGGGTCGTAACTTGAGCTCAACTTTTTTTCAGGTAGCGATTTGCTCTATCATCTTCTTTCCGCTTCATCTTGATTTGTGCGTTTATTCATGAGTGATCAGTGCAAATTATACGTCTCAGCTTATCCATTCAATTCTTCTTTTCGTAGTAGTATTCTCGAGTGTCTGTCAACTTCATCAAACATTCCTTGGAGACCTAGTACATCCGGCTGTAGACTCATTTCTTTTCCATCTTCTGCAGGCAGATCTTTAGTAACAGCCATTTGTTTGATACAAGTTAAACTCACTAAACCTTAGTGACAGGCTGCAGGGTTCTTTGGATGTCCTTGCCAATATTTTTGTTTCAATTTTCATTGTCTGGCGCGCGTTCGACGGTAGGAAGGTAAGAAACAATCGGGCAGGTTTTGCTCTAGGAGAGAAAGGATTGAAAACTGCCTTGACCTCTGTGATAAATTTAGTTATCATGTCTAATTTGGTGCTACAACTAATTTGGTGTAAGATAGTTAATGTAAACAGTCCTGCTCGTAAAGCCTAAGCGTGATGTGGCAACAACGAACCAGAAGTCAAAAAGAGGTGGGACACTAGAAGAGGAGAAAATGTCATAAACGGGGAGCCCCTGCAAGGCATGTACAACGGCTCCACCGATCACGGTTTTATACATAGCTTGTCCAACATTTCAGGAGCCAAAAGTTCGTGTCTTCGCCAGAAATACAAATCAAAGTCATAATAAAGCCACATGTCGATTTCCCATTTTTTGAACGCTATCCATGCTCTTGAAAATTCCAATGAGCAATTGCGGGCAGCCATTGAGAGTTTTGAACAAACAAAGTTCGGTGCAGAGTCTGGTCCAACCTCTGGCCAGAAGGTCAGCGTGACTGAGGTCGTTGAGGATATAATCCTTCGAGTCAAGGATCAAGGAGCTGATCTAGAAAATCTAGAGGAAGAGATGACCGATATGTTGGAGGTGATGCCGCCGGCCTTGGAAGCACAGTTGCTCGAGATGAAAGACCAGATCATCAGGGCGCGGCAAGCGCTTCATATGTAAGTTCGTTATCATCGCTGCTCTACACGGGCGCATGCCGACGTTGTTTAGGTACAAGGGCCGCTTCCGACATGCTCAACTTATTGTCAAGCAGCGCCACGAGGCAGCGCTAAGAGAGGAGAGGAGGGCGCGCTCGCAGGCCTCATCGCCCCATTTATCTTCCAGTGTCGTAACCACTAAATTGCAGCAGACAGAAATATCATCAGACGAGAGAGAGATTATGGCAAGTCGGAATGTGACAGCGGCCCTCCGTCGCACCCATAATATGATGGCTGACGAGCTCTCGCGCTCTCAATTTGTTCACGATACATTAAATCAATCAACAGCCGCGCTTGCTCAGCTCTCCGAATCCTATTCTAGCCTCGATACCCTTTTGTCAAGCTCCAAAAATCTGCTTAGCACACTGCTTCGCAGTCAGAAGAGTGACACATGGTATCTTGAGACTGCCTTCTACGTACTCATAACAACGATAGCCTGGCTTGTATTCAGGCGTCTATTCTACGGTCCGTTATGGTGGATTCTTTGGCTACCTCTGAAGACGCTGTTGAAGGGCCTTGCCAGTGTAATCCCAGCATACAAATTCGTGGGTAATACTAGCGTGGGGAACAATCTAAGCCCGCCTACGCCGAAGCCGTCTCACGCACAATATGAAACTGAAAACTCTGTCAAACATACACATGTGTCGCGAGACTCGCGCTTGGAAGGTTGTCGGCAATACCGGGTGATGCTGCCCCTGGCAGACCAAGTCTGCAAGATCTCCGACGAGGCTGAAAAGCTAAGTCATCCCGGTGCACGCATCGAGAGATATCAAGCGCCTACAAAGGCCGGTAAATTCCAGTATCTATCCCAGAAGACTTTTTCCCCCCCACCGAAAGGAAAAATAGGAATGCATACTATGAATGAGCTCTAGATAACAAATTCTCCAGGCAGGTTCTAATTTGTTCTCCGAAATTACACAGAATAATGAGACTGGAAACTCGTAAACGATATTTTCTAGAAATTTGGCAACGTCTCGGCCCTTCTCTAAGATTACGATGCGGTCCCTGATTGCCCCTGGGTCCCATCTACTGTGAGCCAGCGAAGTTTTTCGCGTATAGATTTACTCCTGATATTTTCCTTCATACTGTGCTCTCATCCTCCCACTTAAGGCGAGACATATTTTCTTCACTTAATTTCCAGGTGACTATGTCAGTTAACTCTGAGATTCTTGAGGTAATTATCATGAAGAGCGCATGAAATAGACAAGACGCCTACGTAATAGATGACTACCGTTTCAAACACTTCATGTACCGACTCTAGGTAGACAAATAGACCTCAAATTTTAGGTCTTCACGTAGAAATTCGTTACTAGTCAACACGAATTCAAATTTGGGTACTAAATTGAACTAGAAGTTAACCCTCACTGTGATGTACAGTATTTATTCGATCATCCTGACTTTCAGAGAGTAAGTCAATCTTGGACCATAATTCTCGGACGATTTGGCGTGTAATTCGCGCACCATGAAATTAATAAGTAACGTCTCATATTTAATGGCTAGAAGTTCTCCAACCCACGTCATTTTCTTCGTCATCCGCTGGCTCTACTCGAACTAATATTTCTTCTAAGAGACCCTCAAGAAAAATATCGACGTCCTTACCCATTCCAACCGGTTCCTGTTTGTCCCAATGGTCGATTTCTTTGCAAACGTGTGCCAACTTGTAAACTAATTTTCTCACCTTCTCGTGAGCTGCCTGTGACCGCTGTTGCTTAGGCGTTGTTCCCGTTCCACGAAAAGCTTGCTGTAGCCGGAATTGGCGACGCTTTAGAGCCTCTTCTAATGCAGGAAATATGACATCATTCAGGGCATCTAAATCACCTGCTTGATTTCCCGACTCTTGTGAAGGCATAGTATTTGAAGAGTAATTTGACTCGGATAATATTTTTTCCTTTGAAAGCTTGTTTTCACGAGTTTTTGAAGGAAGAGTGGGAAGCGGCTGATCTAAATTTTGTGTAGGATGACTTTCAAACGCGACTGGTTGCGGAGGCAATGGGTGATGTCTAGTTTTATTAACAGAGGACATTTTCGAGTCTTTTTGCGAGCACTGTGGTTGCCCTCGGAAAGGTGGTATCTCAGATAGCTTAAATGGTCCAAGTTTGGGTATTAATTCTTGAGGTGGCAGCTTAGGATTTTGTTGGCCTTGGGAATAATTTGATAGTGGTGGGGACGAACCTAAAGAAACTTGTGCATGTTGTGTTGCTATTTTACCAATATTTAATAAGGACATTTCTTGTTCTAGCTGTTTCTGCAACGAATAATTAGGTCCTAGATATTCTTCATTGAGTCGTAGCCCTTGGAATTCATCTTTTTTATATTCATTTGGTTTTTCTGGGGAAGGAGGTAGAGGTATCTTTCTTGGTGATTGCGGCTCTAGATCTGGTACACATTTTCTTTGAGGGTTTTGGTGAATCTGCCTAGTCTTCGGAGAATTCATAACTTTGACGGTATTGGCAGTTGATATGCTATTAAAATCTCTCCTACCCTCTATTGGAGCTTTTGCTAGTTGATCAGGAAGAGGTTCATCTTCATCAAATGACCCTTGATAAGACCTATCATTCGGAGCGGAATATCCCATTGCATTTATGCTGGCCCGACCCGAGCCTTTGACGGTGGCAGGCTTTATCGTCCCGAAATCCCACAAGTCTTCATTCTGAGGTATAGATTGAGCTTTCTCTTCAAGATCATCATCCGAATCATATTCTTCCCCTTTATGATGCACTGCCCACCTTTCGTATCTTTCAATAAGCTCAGTGAGGTAATAAGTTTTCTTTGCTTTTCGTACGAATGGATGTTTTAAGAGCTCTTTGGCTGAAGGCCGTTTTCTCGGATCTTTTTGCAGACAGAGCTCTACGAATTCTTTGAAGGCCCTAGAGAAATTACCCTCTAATTCTGGAGGCGAATTTTTTGGGATCAGGAAGAGAACCTTCATAGGATGTATATCCGAATAAGGCGGCTCTCCATGAGCTAACTCTAGGGCTGTTATTCCGAGAGACCATATGTCTGCTTTATGGTCATAGCCAGACTGTTTAATCACCTCTGGGGCCATCCAGAATGGTGTCCCGACGAACGTGTTCTTTTTGGTCATAGTTGCTGAAAGTTGCCCGGAAACTCCAAAGTCGGCCAGCTTAACCTGCCCATTAGCCCCGAGAAGAATGTTTGCAGCTGCGACACGAATTGTCAGCCTCACAGCGCATCACTCGATCCCAGGATCTCCATACCCTTGATATCTCGGTGGAGCTTCTTATCGCCGTGAAGATAATCCAATCCTAGTAGTAGTTCGCGCACAATTATTGATATATATTCCTCGCCAATTAATCCAGGTTTCATTAAGTCTCCACAGCTACCACCAGCGCAGAATTCCATTACTATCCACAAATCTGATCCTTTAAGATATGAGCCATGATACTGAGTGACGAATGGTGAGTGGAGTTCGGATAAAATTGAAATCTCCTGTATTATATCTTCAACCTCATCTTCTGCATTTTCGACGTCGATGACTTTGATTGCAACGGCTTGACCGGTACGTTTATCAACGCTTCATTATTCTAAGCGTATGTTTCAAAAATTAGGTGGGCTGACTGAGCTGAACATACCCTTTGTAGACTTTACCAAAACTACCTCCACCTGGTCATCACCTACAGTGAGTAAGAGGGAAAGAGAACAAAGATTAAGATTAAATAGAAGTATCTCTTACCTATACAATTCTGTTTCGTGAAGAGTGCCTCGGGATCTACAATTCCATTCATTGTCGATGTCCCACTCACCATCCTTGGATGGCTTATTTGCCAAGCGCTCAATCAAAGCAGCGAGGAAGCAGGTGGAGTCTTCCTAGAGAACTCAAAAGCAGCACCACTTTGATGAAGTTAATCTCTTCACAGTTTGATACGGGTTTAACATATGCAAGAAACCCTTTCCTGTCTTAATAAACTAATCACTGTTGTCGTACTAAGAACTCGAAGCTGAGCTAATAATTCTTTGGTTATAGCGAGTAGTTACTTTGAGATCATCTGTGTGACACCTCGACTTGAATTGCGAACGGCTGTATGTGGTTCGTTGTAAGAAGCAGGAATATGAGAGAGCACGAGAAAGAGAGAGAAAATAGTTAAGGCAGAAATCTCTTGCATTAGACTGGATCGATATCAGACGACTGTGCGGTGTGAAGTTGTGAAGCGTCGGAGGCTGTAAAGCCTAGCGTATCTTACTTGTTACTCGACCGTTGTTTCCATGCACGATAATCCGGGGTAATATGGTTATCCCCAGAATAAAGCAGGCTAAGTGGTATTATGAGTGGCCAATCGTGTTAGAAGAAGCAGATTAGATCGAATAATGACGTGGGGAACTATAGAGATCAGACATCTTGTCTCGAAAATAATTGGCGTCATTTGACCCCTCGCATGCAGCACTACAGGAGCTATAGTAGGAAAACTTGTAATAGCTGATCACAATGCTTATATTCTTGGTGCCTTTATGCACATTCCTATTCATTTGATACCTCATCTGTTGGCGATGATGCCTTTGTCGACCACACATTATAGACAGCAAAGCCACTACGCTTGAATTTGACCATGCTGAGTATACAACGCGTGGTGAATTTTTGCCTAGTGTCAAAAGGTGGAATGTGGAGCTAGTCCCTAGAGCAAAATATTAAGATCTTAAATGGTTCACGCTAACATGTTGACGCAAATAAACTTCTCAGCAGGAAAGTTGAATCATATTAGTAGTAGCAGTAATAAGTCGGAACCTTGTACTGCGATCACAACTACAGCCCATTTCAGTAACGTTCACCAAGAATGGAATAGTAAGATGTGTTTGTCTTCAAATTTCAAAATACAAGACATTATGGCCTGTGCCAAGCTTACGTTAGGTCTAAAGAGGAGTCGAGGCTTGAATGGTTCAATGGTATACCATTTGGGCCATTCTCCCAGCCAGATTCTGAATAGCTCTATCGCTTACTTACTAGAGAAAGGATATTTTTTTAACTTTAGTCCCTACTAAGTCTAAGACTATGGAGAACTTCGTGAATCTAGCTACAGATTCTAATTACATTTGAGAAATTTAATTTTGAAATATGCCAAATTTGTTCTCGTAGATATTGAGGATAAAGCCCTTTGTGTGTTTTATCGAGAAAGGAGAAATCTGATTTGAATGCAGTAAGACCCACAGAACACGTTTTTTCGCGGTGATTTCACGTTGATAGGGTGACAAAAGCACTCTCATATAACCATGGGGTTTTCACGCAGGGGGGCAAGACTGAACACCAGTACGCGGTGCCTTCTACGAATCTAGGAGTGAAATATTCTCAGAGCCAAGTTCAGTCAAATTTCGCAATATCAAAGAAGTTGGCCCACGAGGCAATGATTTAAATTACTCCACCACGTCGTTTTTTCGCTCCCAACGAGTTTGACTCCTACCTACGCCTCATCAAGTCTACAAGTACGACCTAGTACATCCTCATCCCAATGACCACACCTCTCTTCGACTTTCTCTGGCCTCAGCTGGTCGCCAGATACACGCCCACGCCGATATTTACACCCGCTGGAGGAAGCAAAGCGTGGCGCACAAATCTGTGATACAGTTCTTTGGGATGGACGTGTGAGGAATCAGGACAAGTTTATAAGATGATGCAGAGGATGGATACAGTCTCGACGGGCGTGAAATTTCGAATTTTGGCAAGGAGTTTTTACGAATTGAGCTTTGTGCGCGCCAAGACTTCGCTTGCGAGAGTGCAGGCGACACTATAAAAACAAGCAAACGATGGAAGGTGTTGTGGTCTGCCTCCTGGTGGTGTTCTCTGGTATGGTTTGAGTAGCCTGGGCACCTACTCCACTTGGGAAGGAGATATCTCAGACCATATTTCGCGCGGAGAAAAGTTGAAAGATGATGGAGGCATGTCTGGATAACTCAGGGTTTTTGAGACGTTCCCCTGGGTGGGTATTCACGGATGAGGGTTGACTTGATGTGAAGAAAAAGCCACCATAACTTTGCTGTGGTACTTGCAAATGAAATCCGAGGCATGAGTACTCCTCTTGTAAATTGAGTCATCTTTTCTGTACTTTTCTGTACTTTTCTTTGATATTGTGTCATAGCTAGATAGCTGCATACCCAATTAAAATTTGATGCAAAAAAAAGTCTATAACGCTAGCCCTTAGTGCTGTGACTGTACTCCCCCTCTAAATTTTGTTTGGTCTCCAAACAGAACCTCTTATCAAAAAATTAGTGTTGATTCCAGGTACTGTTTCTTTTATATAAATATATATTAGCTTCTTGTTTCAGCTAATTTCCACTTTAGCCGCATTTTCCTCTCTGGGCGGCGTGGCTGTTGTGGTACAATTGATTTATTTGTTGTTGGTTTATTTATCCATGATGGCGGTCCCGGTTTATGAGGGTTTAAGTTGTGAAAATCTGTGAGGGCTTTTTCGCAGCCTCGTAAGTCTAATTCTTGCTGCCAGGAAGGCACATCATCATTTTTCCACTTAATGAGGTAGGTAAGACCATAACAAGCTTGATTGTGCACATCTAAGATTTTTTCAAATACCTACTTGTCTTCAATATTCCTATCACTACCTCTTTCGGCTACTCTTCCAGCAACGCCACGACGCTCATTTTTATTTATAAAAGATTGCCCGGGTATTACAGGATTTTTCCATGGTAGAACCAAGGAGGTGTGGAAACTATTGTTTACATGAATATGATCTGGGAGATCAATGATAACAGCTCCATCATATGTTCTTAAGACTGTGAAAGGACCGTCCCATCTATCATCCCATTTTTTCTTTGGTTGGTTTGTCTTCAGGATTTTAAGGAAAATCATTACCTTGTCTCATACTCTGTAGACTGGGGCTTCTGATCTTCGAGAATTTGTATCTTCTTCATATTTCTCCTGCAACTGGTGGGACATAGCTTTTAGCTTGGCAAGAATTCGATCAAAGCGGTGAGCAACTAAGTCTACTCTTAATTACACTCTTTTTGCAGTACTAGATAGTAATGGTGGCTTAGGCTCTGAGAGTTTGATTCCTAGACTTAGATTAAAGCCGTAGATTGCGTAGAAAGGAGATACACCTGTTGCCTCGCTTATCTGATTATTTCCAGAGAACTCAACTAGTGGTATTGTGAGGATTCCCCTTCCTATCCTAACTTTAGTTTATAATTTTACCCTTCTCCTGATGTTGCTATGACAACAGAACAGTTCTTGGCACTTGTTATTATGTTGATATTAGTTTGTGGCCTATTTTATGATGAGCTAGTGGGAGGAAAGCAAGTATATATATATGATGGTTTGCTCTGTATCCATAGCGTTCCTCATGCTTAGTTTTCTGTCATAACCACCACCCTCGGATTACCCCTAGTCATCTCCAGCTACCTCTTGTATCTTTAGTTACCATTAGTACCCACTTCAATCTTTAGACCTTTTAGGTATTTATATTACACATCTTTCAAACCTTTAGTTCCTCCAAGTTTTCTCCAGTAGACCTTCAGTCTTCTCTTGCGATCCATTCGACCTCTTCTCGCCCTCCAATTCCGCTTCAGGTCAAACGCCTACGCTCCAATCTGATAGGTAGCCAATCGACCCAATCATCTTGGGTAATCCTAACAAAGGCCCGAAGATATTGGTTTAAAGATGTGTTGACTATTTCTGTTTGACCATCGGTCTGTGGGTGAAAAGCCGAACTAGGTTTGAGAGCAATAGAGAGACGAGTATGAATCCTACGCCAAAACTCAGAAACAAATGCTGAACCACGATCAGAAATAATAGAGTCAGGTGCACCATGGAGTCTATAGATGTTTTTGATGAGACATTCAACCAATTCTGATGTATCAAGAGATGTAGTGGGTATAAAATGACGCATTTTAGAGAGTCTATCTACAACCACTAGGATCTTATGGAATATCTCACCATCACGTTTACTCGGCGGTAAGTCAACAGCGTAATCAATTGAAATATCAGACCACGCAAGGACTGGAATTTTGAAAGGCTTAAGAAATCCGGGAGGCAATGAACGTGGAGTCTTAGTCCTGAAGCAGAGAGCGCATACTTTCACAAAATTAGCAACAAATTGGGTTATTCGTGGCCACCAATAAGTTCTTTGTAATAGATCCAAAGTTTCAACTCGACCTGGATGGCCTGCAGGGCTGGAAGAATGGGAACAGTACACAATTTCAAGACGAAGATTTTCATAGTCTGGTACAAAAAGTCGTTTTCGAAAATACAAGAATCCAGAATTAATTTTAAACTCTACTTTGTCCTTTAGGAGTAACAATGGTAAGGGTCCAGGCCACCACTGCTTTGTGGTATCTTGTAAAGAATTTATGATCAACTTTGCAATGTTGTTATTCTCGTAAGTAAGGGATTTTCATGGATAAACGTGGCGGAAACTAGGATGGTGTCTCATGGGGAGTTCCATTCTAAAACACAACTCGGGGTTAGATCAAGTTTTCAAACAATTAGGACAGGCTCAGGAAAATATGGTCGTTTCATAGGGATTGCGTAGTAATGCTGTTCGAAACAGAGCTTAAGGCTGTCCTATTATCTGATGTACATATATACCCAGCGTGAAGGAGTATTCTTCATCACGCAACGTCTTCTGTTTATACTCATACCTATTGTTCACGTACTTATCTCTTCTCTAAAGAAGACCGCCGTCATTGTACCCTTCTCACCTACTACTTAATTTACCTTTACTTCTTATGTGAACCCTATACCTAACGCTGAATTTATACCTCCTACTCTTAGGAATCACCACCATACTCCACACCTGTAACCTACTTGTACCAAACTCGTACCCTACGGAATACTAATAACACGGCTCCTTGAGAGGGATATAGCTTCGGTAATAGAAGTTTCATGAGATATAGCGGATATGTGATCAACAAATTGGTTCTTATTTAGAAGGCTGTGGAGTATATCAGGAGGGACTTTATGTTCTGGAATCAAACTGTGAAAACGATGTTAAAGACGGTCATCAAAATCATCTTTTGGTTGCTGTCCTGGTAAACGGCTCAAGGTATCTAGTACTACTGCATGTGACCCAGGACAATAAGTGATTAGAAATTTGTACCGAGACAAAAATTCAGACCTCTGTACCTGACACTGGTTTAGCTGTTTAGCTGTCAGGAAGGTTTGAAG